TTACAGGTTATTATTATTGCAGGTTTTTTTTAAAAAATATTATTGCACGATTAAAAAAAAACGAAAAAAAAAAATTATACAAAAGGCACCGGTTAGGCAGGAACCGGTGCCTAAACTATCCACCACCAAAAAAAAAATGGCGGGAGAGCAGTTTTAGGCACCGGTTAACCGGTGCCTATTTCACCCTATGGCACCGGTTAACCGCTGCCTATTAAACCCTATGGCACCGGTTTTGAACCGGTGCCAAATAGCAGGTTTTTGGCACCCCTCAAATAGGCAGCGGTTCAAACCGGTGCCTTAGACCGGGTTTGAACCGCTGCCTAATGCCTTTTTTCTACTAGTTAATATAGGAAAACACTCTAGTTAAGCTCCACATATGAACAAGGATTTGAAATATCAAAGTTGCTCAACACCTAAAATCACATGTTTATGACAATGATCAGAGTGTAGATCGTAATTACAATGAATAACTATAGGAAATACGAGTCTAGCTAACTGGTGCACATATGAATTCTGTTGGCTAGATAGCTAGGGTTATAAAAAAAATAAAAAAATTCACTTGTCGGCTGTCGCCTGTGATTATCTAGGACTTAAATTATATGTGTAATACCCACCATTTAAAGAGATTAAGAAAACTCTAGAGAGTAATGTTGCAAGTTGTATGGAGCACTATAAATACGAAGTCTCGCTCTTAATATCATCTAAGCAAATTTGTAAACACTCTCTCAAGCAATACAAAGTTTTCTTATTAACCATAATCACTTGTGTATCCATCTCAGTCTCAAAATTATTACTGAAATATGTAGGCTTTAGAGTTAATAAATGGGAATTGAAAAGAGGTTAATTATACTATTTAATATTTGTATTATATTCAATTCACCCGATATGTTAAAATAAGTGGTTTTTTTTTTTTTTTTTTTTTTTTTTTTTTGGCTTGATTTGATTTCCAAATTTGATTCCAATGAGTTGTCATTATATTCTAATATTCTTAGTAGGAGTGTTCCAAAATACCCGACCTGTTGATTAGTTCATTTTAGCTAGGTATTAATTTTGCTATTTTGGGAAATAAACAGGTTAAGTATCCAACCCGATTAAACATTCTGGAATCGGGTCGGGTCATGGGCCATCCCACTACTAGAAAACAGCTTAATTCCGACGGAACCGTTCCGACGGACAAGAAAATCCGTCGGAAAGTACGAAATTTATGACGGAATTAAATTCCGTCGTAAATTTACGACGGATTTTTAATCCGTCGGAAATTATACCATTTACGACGGAAAATTCCGTCGTAAATGGTATAATTTCCGACGGAATTTAATTCCGTCGGAAATTTGCGACGGATTATAACCCGTTTCCGACGGAATTTAATTTTTTTTTTTTAAAAAAAGGAAAAAACCCCAAAACCCTAATACTAAAACGGCGCCCCACCCCCCTCATTCACAATCCGCCTCTCTCCTCCCTTTTCTCTCTCCTCACGCTCTCTGTCTCCTCCCTTTCTCTCTCCTCACGCTCTCTCTCTCCTCCTCCTCCTTCTCTTCTCACGCTTTCTCTCTCCTCTCCTCCTCCTCCTTACTCTCTTCTCAAGCAAGCTCTCCTCCTTTTATGTCGTTTATGGTGATGTTAGTCAAATTAATGGTTTTTAAGGTCAAATTCGACCATGAAAATCCTAGATCTAGGGTTTTCGTGGTCGAATTTGGCCTTGTTAAACCAAGTTCGTGGTTAATTTCGAAGTTTTTTTATCTTAAGGTACGTTCTAATATTTAATTTTGATTTTTATTTAATTTTTGGATGATTTTCGATGGTGGTGGATCTAAATTTGGGTGATTTTCGGTGGTGGCTGTGGTCTGGGTCGTATTATGGTGATTTTCGTGGTGGTTGTGGCTTGGTTAGTGTATTCGGTCAGGGTGGTGTGGGTTTTGGTGGGGATTTGTTAGGGGTGGGTAGTGTGGGCTCGGTTAGGGGTGGCTGGGTTTTGGGTTGGGTTGGGTTGGGTTTTGCGAAGTTTGGTGTTTTGGGGTTATTATGTGCGTGTGGTGGTGTCGGTGTGAGTGTGGTGGTGTGTAGTGGGGTGGTGTCGGTGTGAGTGTGGTGGTGTGTAGTGGAGTGGTGTCGGTGTGAGTGTGGTGGTGTGTAGTGGAGTGGTGTCGGTGCGAGTGTAGTGGTGTCGGTGTGAGTGTGGTGGTGTGCAGTGGGGTGGTGTCGGTGCGAGTGTGGTGGTGTCGGTGCGAGTGGTGGTGTGCAGTGGGGTGGTGTCGGTGTGAGTGTGATGGTGTGCGGTGGGGGCTAGTTGGGTGGGTTGGTGGTAGCTGGTGGTGGGGGTTGGTGGTGCGGGCTTTTTTTTTGTTTTTTTTAATAAATTTCCGACGGAATTTCCGTCGGGAAATTCCGACAGAATCGGATTCCGTCGAAAATTTCCGACGGACTTTTCCAAACCATAAAAACCTCTTTCGACGCTAAATTCCGTCGTAAAATGTCAATTTTCCTACAAATACTTTTCCGACGATACCTTCCGACGGAATTCCGTCGTAAACACGGTTTCCGACGGAAAACATGGTGTTTCCGACGGAATTTTTCCGTCGGAATTAAGCTGTTTTCTAGTAGTGTCCCTTATGCTTGACGCGTACCCAATGACTCGTGAGTGTTTTTTATTTTTCTCTAACTTTACTTACCAATTTATCGTCATGGGCCGTAGGCCACTTGCCAATGATAGTCATTATCTCAAAGGTGAGCCATTCTACATTGATAGGTTCAACATGGAAAGATCTACCAAAAAAAAAAAAACCCGAATTGGAGAAGTATTTAAGCACATTCAGGATCATATTCAAAATACGATGAATGATACATAAAATTATGTACAAGAGATTAGTCCTACTTAATCAATTAATTAAATATTAAGTTTTGTCTACATTTTAGCTCTGATAAGAGTTTTTTCATTGAGTATTATTACTAATTTACTCAGGATAATTTCAATTTTTTTTTGTTTATTCAAGTGTTTTTGATGATTAATTGTGAGTTTTACTCAAAGCCATCTTATAGTTGATTAACTTAATTCATGATTGGAGTTGCGCTATGCTTTATTTATTTTTTTTTTTTTTAAAAAGAAAGTCATCTTATAGTTCTTTGATTAGGGTTTTTACTTGCAGCAGATATCTAGCCTAGAGTCGGATACCCTATGACCCGTCCCGGTGAAATCAAGTACCCTTTACCGAGTCGGGTCTAACCGAAAATCCAGGTACTCGAAAACCCAGATATTTCCTCCGTGTTTTTTTAAGTATTACAGTTTGACCGTCACATAGTTTTAGACAATTTAATTGACTTAATTAAAATAAGAGGTAAGTAGGGTAGATGGAGTATTAAAAAATTGTATAAGAAAGATAGTGAGGTTAATAGTTTATTGAAAAGTAATTATTGTGAGAGAAAAGATATAATAAAAAAAGTAGTAGTGAGTTTGGGTGGGGACCATAAGAGGAGGGATATATAATATTTTTAATGTAGCTTTTTGCAAAAAAGGAAAGTGTTTTTTTTTTTTTATTTGATGCAAAGGAGGGCCAAGCCTAGTACAAACAAAATTAAATAACAAAACGAGGAGTAATAACTCCTAAACAGTCCTCCCTAAGAGTCTCACGTATTACGATTGGGGGGCATCGAAATACATGGTTCCCTCAATTTGGACGACTCCTACATTAGCCAACCTATCGGCTACTTTATTCCCCTCTCTATAACAATGAAAAATACTAATATTACTATCAAAGGAGCTGATGATGTTTCTGCAAACATTCAGCAAGTGGACACATTCTCCACCTAGAAGTTGGTCATTTAGGAGAGCTTCAATGCAAGCCTTGTTGTCCATTTGAATTATTAGCTTGGTAATGCCTTGTTGTTGTGCTAGTCGAAGTCCCAACTCAAGAGCTAACACCTCAGCTTTGTAAGCATTGCAGCGACCAAAATTTGCAGCAAATCCCTTAATGAAATGGCCTCTACAGTCCCTTAAAACCCCTCCTCCACCAGCTAGGCTAGAGGAACCCCGTGCTGCACCATCAGTATTCAAAGCAATCCATCCTATAGGAAGGGCAGTCCAGCAAACAAGCACCTCCCTTTTGGTAGGCCTGTGTGAATGAAGTCCATCAGATTCAGATTCTCCCATAAATGCCTTCCAAGTTTCTTCAATTTTGGCTCTTAAGTACCCACCTGTGTCAATTGGAATTTCAGCATTTTTACCAAAAATTGCAAAGTTTTGCCATTTCCATATCCACCATAGAGATACAGCAAAGGTGGTCGGCCTTTTTTCAGAGAAAATTAAGCCATCAGCTTTGAGGTTACGAGTGATCCAGCTTTGCAAGTCTCCTTGGAAAAAGGACTGATAAAAGGCAGTCCCTCCAACACTTCTCCAGATATTTCTTGCTATAGGACGGTCACGGAATAAGTGCAGAAGTGTCTCCTCCTTGTTATGCATACATCTCAAGCATCTAGGATCATCAGTGAGATGTCTTAGAAGCTTGTTAGCATTGCAGAGAACCCTGTTGTGCAGGATAAGCCAAAGAAATACTCTGATTTGTTGTTGAACTAGGGCAGTCCATGCCAAGTCCCATTTGGGGTCTTGTTCAACATGCTCATCATTTTTCATTATAGTCAGAGTATATTTAATCGAGAAGCCCCCTGTTTTCGATCCTTTCCATTAACGGAGATCACTCAAATCAGAGTTTTCCATTACCTTGTGAGCTGCTATAAGTTAAAGGACATTGGATGGGAGTAAATTTGCAAAGTTATCCCATTTCCATCCTACGCCTGGCTCCCAGAGTTCTTCAACAGTATCTCCATCTAACACTGCAGGGATGTTGTTGATTATGAGCTCTCGGAGTGGTGTAACACTTATTAAAACACGAAGGGAGTAGCTAAATCTAAACATTCCTAATTCTTAGTAAGACAACATAAAGAAATAATATAATATATATATATATATGACCAGGTTATAATGAGAACCTAGTCTATAATAAGAACTAATACAGACCGTTAGATTTGAGCAAAATTAACGATTAAGATGTAGTTGCGTGTGTTGTGTTGGAAATTGATAATCTCGTTCTTCCCTTCTTACAAACTCATACTACTTTCTCTCTCCTCATGAACATAATTTCTCTACAAATCCAGCCTCCAAGTTTCCCAATTGTGACTCAAATTTTCAGTCAAATACAGGTATGATTAATTCAACATTTTGTTTTTCTTCTCTTTGGATTTTTTATTTTGTCAATCTAAGGCTCAATTTTTTTATAAGGAAATTTATGGCTCGATACTGATAAGTTTTGCTCGAAATTTTGGCTAATTCACTTCTATTCAATTTCTAAATTTTGTTATTTGTATTCAATAATTTGTGTTTACATTTCATCAAAATTTAAGCAAAATCAAGCGAATGCACACTAAATGTTCGACAAAATGCCCCAATGAATCCTATTATATTATAAATTTCAAATGTAGATAGAAACTAAGTAAAAGTAAATCAATAGTATTTTTAAGTAAATCGAAAGACTAAATGATATCTCAATTACTTCCTCCTTTCTATGTCATGGTTCTTTGGTTGTTACTTTATTATTAGGAACTTATTTGTGTTTGATTTTTATGCTCTTAATTTCTACTTTGTTGTTAGTGAATCTTTTTGTTGTATATGGGTGCTTAGAGTATGTTATAATTGCTTTTGGAGCTGGTTCACCTCGCGATCTTATTTGAGACTTTGATATCAAACGTGGTTTATTTTTGTAATACCCGAGATTTTAAAACCTGATTTATTATACGCTAATATTTATTTTATTAGCTTAATTAAAGTTTTGTCTCTGTTTTAACAAGAACGAATGTTTTAATCTTGAATTTTATTTTAATATTATATTATTTCAGAAGCTAATTTTAAGGAAAGTAAATTATTATTTTACAGCTTATTTCTGATCAGTATAATGTTTAAAGATTTGTATCAAAATATGTATTTTTACCCGAGAAAATAAAATGACCAAAATGCCCTTACTTATCATAAGAGACAAAATCCACCTCCTAAGTTCATCCCTTTTTCACCACTAAGAAAAGAATTGACAATTTCATTTTTCATTGTTTCCTTTACCATTGGTTGCCTAATTCCTGTGATAATCTTGTCACTTAATAAACTTTTATAATCTTTTCTTGTAAGCTATTGATCCTTCACCGTTAAGAAACAAAAGAGCAAAGGATAAACTTTGCTTCATTCAACTAGAAAACAAAACCCACCTCTTGCTTCTCTATTCCCCTCACGGTTAAGAGCTTTATAATACAAAGTCTAATTTTGCCTTTCCATATAATTGGTCACTCAAAATCCCATGATTATCAATTTAGCAAATCTTGATCTTATCTTCTTCTTTCTTTCAAGTTCATTCTAGCAACCATATTACTCTATATATATATATAAAATGTCACCACCGTTCACTAGTGTCATTAACTCATTATATACTTTCTTTTCTCCTTTCGTAAACTTTCTTGTCAAACTAATGAAAATGGCCTTCTAAGACCCATTACCTTATTGCTTCGTATACTACTAATTAGCCCAAGGTATAACTAGTATTGTTTCAATGTTCATATTTATTCTTTAAAGAGAAATCTTGTTATCTAGTATTGTTTTTCTTGTAATACAAAAATAATTTAGTGGAAAAACTATGATTTAGTGGAAAAACTATGACTTCTTTGAGTCATAAAGCTACGTATGGTATTACTTGTATTTAGAAATAAGTTTGTTGATTTTATACTAAAATAATTTAAGAGTATAGTTTTAATCATTTTTCCTACAAATGCAATAATTTATATTTTCAAGAAGAATCGGACCTCGGATCTCAGTGAGAACGATAGAATAAAGGCTAACAGGAAGGTTATCAGACTGTAAATCGAGGTAACGGCTATTGCTAGTACCCACAATTCTCTTCAAAATGTGTTTATAAAAGCATGATGTCATTTTTGAAAGTTGTTTATATCTCTGGATTTAATGACTTGCGGGATGATGAACGTGTTTATTAATGTACTTCAGTTTAATGATTTATATGAATGGTTTTATTGATATACGTTGTTTTATTAATCTTTGGATCTTACGAAAGTATGTCATGAATCTATGAATGACTTATGTTAAAGTTACACAACATGATAAATAACAGTGAAAGACCTAGTCCGTCTGGCAGTATATGTTTACAGGTTACTTTTCGATCATGCATGTACCCATGGGGCATTAGCCCAACTATGTCAAGCATCTGCTCTATGTTATGGGCACCGGCCCATCGCGGAAGACGTTCCGCCATGTCATACTTGCCAGCGACTAGCATGTTAATATGAACGTTATATGTATTATTATATGAATTTTATTAAACGTTTTAAGATATTCCATTCTCCCTGTTTTGCTAACTAAAATGAGTTGAAATGATGTTACACTACTAGAGTAGTTCGTTACTGAGTCTTCGGCTCACCCGTTTTTATGTTTTTATGTTTTAGGTACTGCTGGGGATGATGGAAACGAGTAGTAGCGAGGATTTTACTTTCAGTTATCACTTAATAGTAGTTATATTTTTAAGTTGTTTAATTTCAATAGTAAGACTAAGCTACTTAGTAAGTTTGTGATAAGATAGGATTTGCTATTATAAAAAAATAAATAAATAAAAATAAATCAAGAATAATGTTTGTAATAAATAGATTACTATGTTTTATAAATCAAGTTTGTTAATTAAGTATGATTGTTGCCTTGTAAATCTCGTAAGGGATTTACGGCAGTGACGTCCCGACCGTTTTAGGTTAATTCCGCTGCGAAGATTCTCTTAATAACTGAATTAGAGGTCAGGGCGTTACAATTTTTGATTTGATGTGAGGGTTTTAATTGATATGATGAATTTATTTTTCTCAAAGTAAATTAAAAAAAAAAAAAAAAAAAAAACAAGTATATCACAGAATAAGTTTTTTTTCCCTGAAATCCTTCAACTATTAAGTGTTTTGCAAGCTGAATTTTTATTCTAGTTACTTTAAGTGGCCTTGAATACATTTCCAGTAAAAGTAAACTAGATGTCTTTAAAATTATACTGAATAGCTGCAAAAGTAGATGATCAAATAGTTTATGGGTGAGGACTTTTTCAATAATCTTCAACCATAATGAATGCCACTTGCTCATGTTTTTACTGATATTTAAATAATTGTGCTGGTGTTTATGTTCTTTGTAAATTAGAATGACACTAGTATAATTTGGTGACTAAAATGTGTTAGTAAACTAAAATTGAGCAAATGTAAAATATATCTCTTTAAAATTAATATAATGTATTGGTAAAGAATGGGATAAATGCTGAAGGGTATTGTGTATTATATATAAAGAATAGAGTTAATATCTTGACTATTGATAAACTTTACAATTTAGCTTTCGGTCTTCACAATTTAGCGTGGGTGGAAGCTACGCAAAATAAGCCTCCAAATGAAGCACATGTAGAAAAAGATGATAAAACTAGTAGTACTCTAATAAATAATTGATGGTATTGCTACTGTTGCAGCTTTTAAGGATCAACAATTGTAGTATGGAGTTGCAGAAATGGTTGTCTGGTTGATAGTGTAAAGGAAGGAGGTGAGATTGATTTCAACTTTTGAATTTGTAAAATATGGCCTTAGATTTATATTTTCATTAGTATAGATTTATCCTCATCATATGGAGGAGGTTTTCTCATCTATGATCAAGATCATTCCTTTAAATAATTAAAAAAGTCTAAATGAATAAGACTTTAATTTGAAGTTGATAAAAAAGAATGTAAAGTAAATAAAAAATGAATTTGAAGTAAACCTATTAGCTCAAGTGGTAGAGCACTATGCGAATGCATAGAGATGTAGGTTCAATTCCTACATAGGTTATATCTCTAAAATTAAATACTATAAAACAATCTAAAGTTATTCAAAATAACTAAAAAAGTAGTAACATAACAACTATGTATCTTGCTCTAAAAGATGATCCTACATAAAAATACAGAAGATGATTAAGGTTGAATAAGGTAATTCTTGCATCAGTTATCTCTAAATTAAAAGAAAATTTAATCTAATCTAAAGTAAACAAAAAAGACTTTAAAGTAAACCTATTAGCTCAAATGGTTGAGCACTATGCGGATGCTTAGAAGTGTAGGCTCGATTCCTATATAGGTTATTTCTAAAACTAAATATTAGACACTCTAAAGTAATACAAAACATCTCAAAAGTAAATCAAATTAGTTCTAAGGTATACAAACAAAAGAGGTTGTTTTTTTATGATCTGTGTAACATGAGGTTAACTCGATCCTATAGTGGACACACCTGCTCTCTTTACTGTCACTCAATGTGATAGATTAATGACGATGGAAAAATTACACTAAAGTACAAAAATATCTCAAAAGTAAATAGAAAATCAGTAAAAGTAAATTAATATATCTCTAAAGAAGGTGTATACTCGGTAAAATCTGGTTATTGGCTTGCAAAATTGGGTCATCAAGATTAGTTTGCTGATGGTATAAATGGTGGGGAGGAGAACCTTTGGTGTGGGATTTGGTTGCTACGAGGTCCACCAAACCCGAGACACTTCTTGTGGAGGGCCTGTAAAGACAGTCTGGAGTCAAAGAAAGGCTTCAAAAGCGTCATATAGTAGGGGATGCGATCTGCCCAATTCGTGGTGCTAGCTCTGAGACAATAATTCATTCCATTTTTTATTGTAAGGTGGCGGCTCCTATATGGCAGCATCAGCCTCCGGCTATTGTGATTGCTGATACACCCTCTGCCTCTTACAGAAAGATGGGTTTGGCTTGCTTTGAAATTAAGCTTTGGTGAGTTAAGGACAGCAGCTACTTTGATGTGGGCGGCATGGACATGTAGAAATAAGGCGTAATTTGAGAACACGAATCCTAATGTTGTTGCCTTGGCTGCGGGTTATGTAAATAAAAGATGGTGGAGGAGTACTTAATCTATGCGCAGAGAGTATTTAGATGCACCTTGTGCTACAGCATAGCCGACTGTAACCACATAGAAATTCCCTCCTGTTGGGTATGTGAAGGTGAATACAGATGCTCATTTTGTGAGTAGAATTTGTGCAGGGCTGGAGTGGTTTTGAGGGGCTCAAAGGGTGCAGTTTTGGTTTGTGCAAAAAGGCGAGTTTGGTGTGTACTTAGTTTAGGAGATAATTTTGTCAGAAATCAAAATTAAAGCAAATTATGTCAAAAGTAAATAGTAAGAACTCTAAAGTAAGTTAAAAAATGCTAAACAGTTTCTCAAAATATCATTTAAGTAAATAATTTCACTTTTAGAGTAGTTAATATTTACTCAAATGAAAATTAGAAAAACTCAAAATAGATAAAAATAATAATTACATTACAATGGTTCGAGGTGTTAGAAGAACCTACGTGGGATTCGAACCCACATCTTTTGTTCACTTGCACAATGCTCTACCTATTGAGCTAGTAGGCTATTATAGAGTAAGAACAATTAGTTGACATAATCGATCATCTTTATTTTCTATATACTGAAAAATCACAAAAGTACATAAAAATACTCAAAAGTAAATAAGAAAAGCTTAATTACTATCCTAATATATATGCAGAATGGACCATGTCCACAATGATAAGGGACATATTGAAAAAGCAGATAAAATAAAAAAATGAAAATCAAAGCAGCAGTTGCAACAGCAGCCTTGGCAGGGCAAAACCGCAAAAGTAGCAGCTGTAGTAGAAAGCCATGGCAGGGCAGCAGCTGCAGCAGCTGTAGCAGCAACCTTGGCAGCATTGGTAGAGCAGCAGCTGCAGGCTTGGCAGGGCCTCCAAAGCAGCAGCTGCAGCCTACCAATTGAGCTAGTAGGCTAGTGACAAAAAAGAGTCTTGCAAATCAAGGCAGCATAAAGAATTGAGTGTGTAAATAAAACATCGGTATGTATTAAATAAAAATTATTCAAAAGTAAACCAAATAATCTAAAAGGTAAACACAATAATCAATAAAGTGTATGTACACTCGCTGGGGGTTTTAGATCGTTCTTACTTGTTCAGATAGCTAAGTTGTTTAGTTCATTTACGCATATGCAATTCCCTGTATCTGCAGACTTTATTGTGATATAGCTCAATATGCAATTCCCTATATCTGCTCTTTATACAGTCTTATCAAATAAGACTATTTAACTCACTAGCAATATAGTTCGCTGGTAATATAATATGTAATACATATTGTACAAGAGCAGCAGTATGTAGTATAGCTCAGTCTACTTTTTATAGAAGTGTGAAGCGGGATGACACCCATCTCCGCACCTATGTGAATTATAAACACCAGAAGTGAGAGGAAAGGGAGCCTTATCAACACTAGTAAGAGCTGAAATTTTAGAAAATTATTTTGTTATAGACTTATAGTCTATTCAATGAAACAAGGAATAAATGAACAAATTCTCAGGCACCAAATCACAATCAGAATAAAAAATAAAATAAATGATCGCCACATTGTATGCCATCATCTACCCATAAGTGCAATATAAAACCTATACTAGCTACCATAGAAACGCTTAAATATGTTTAGTACATTGATATCAAAATCTCATTAAGTTCCAAAATACAACAAAAAGACATAGAAATGCTTGCAAATAGCTTAATCCAACTTTCAGAACAATTTATACATACAATGCCAAACCACAAAGTAAATAAAAAATTATAAAAAGTAAAGCAAATTAAATAAAAGGTAAATAATAAGAATTTAAAAGCAAAAAACAAAGAAAATTGAAACATAATCAAAAGACACACATAATACAATTTTCGTGAAAATTCAAAGACAAGCATCAAAACATAATCAAGAAAAAAAAAATCCAATAATACAAAGCTAAGCGTCTCAACTAAAAAATCAATGAAATCAAGTAAAAAACGAAAACCCTAACCGAACCAAAACACTAGTAATTAAATTGAGTAAACAACAATAAGCTACAATATCATAAAAGTATAAAAAAAAAAAACCAAAAATGGAGAAAAAACCCTAATTAAATAGGAATATCAATAATAGATTAAAAAAAACAAAAGAATTCGAAAAATACCTCTCCAGAATGATCAAATAACAACAAAAACAAGATCGTATAGGAAGAATCGAACAATTTGAAAATCTACAAATATATATAAATTGAAGAAATCAATGAACGAACTGAGCAAAATCGCCTTTTAGAGAATTTGAACATAGAGAGAGAAAGTAAGAAGAAGAGAGAGAAACAAAAGAAGCGGCGACAAAGTTAGGGCGGAGGTCATTCTCCGTGCGAATTTACAAAAATACCCTTAATGAGGCGGGTGAAATATAAGCCTTTGGATGAAGCACGATTGACGATCCAGATCAGTTCCTAGTTCTCATTATTCACCTTGGTTCTCACATGATCTCAAATCTATCTATCTATATATATATATATATATATATATATATATATATATATATATATATATATATAATTAAATTCAAACAATTACTGCTTTTTGTAAATAAATAATTTTTTTAAAAAAAAAACACACAATTTAGTGAAATTACTGTTTTCAGAGACTTAAAGTTTTAAAAATTGACAAAATTGAATAAATCACTTATTTTTACATTTTATCTTAATATAAGACTACAAAGGTTGAGTGATGCTTCCATCAATAATTCAAGTTGGCTGGAAATAACCAATTTCACAACGTTATAAGAAGCACTCTATATTAAGCTCCACATATGAACAAGGATCTGAGTTATCAAAGTTGCTCAAAACCTGAAACCACATGTTACAAGGATTATAAAAGTAGAGATTGCAATTACAAAGTAGCACCTAAATACTGAAAATACAAGTCTATCTAAGGCCCTGTTTGGTTTGATGTAAAATGTTTTCATGGAAAATGAATTTTCCATTTTTTTCCCATTTTCCTTTGTTTGGTTTGTT